GTAACAGGCCCATGAGGGGGCCGAACACCGCGGATCATTCGACTGTGTACGTAGGTCGTAAGCTATGGGGCAAAAGCTACTTGTGCGTGTTCACTCGGCACACCGATTCTGCCAGCGTTACTGACTATCAGGAGCTTTATTCAAAAAGTAGCAATTTTAATGCTGAGGCTAGACTGCATCACACTGACAAAATACGAAGGACCCACTCCCTGTCGTTGAGGCCTATGAGCTGGTAGAAGCTCAGGTATGATTGAGATTAGTTTGTATACCAAAAGAGAGCTGCCTGTCCTTCAGATGCTCCGAGACGGGCAAGGCTTGCCACTCCATGAAAATAAGAAATGAATCGGCTGGGAAATTGGAGTCTGTGAACTGACGCCTCAGGAGGTAGGAGTGGCTTACCAACATGCTGGTACTCCCCACGGCCAATGGTTTCAGCCGCAGTGAGGGATCATCGCGCATCTCCACGGCCGCGTAGAACGCATCCATGTCGACGTGGACTATGCAGTTGGAGAGATCACGATCGGATCTGTAGCCGTCCAACACCTTATCCGCCTACGGGGGAAAAGAGATCAGGCAGCCGAATGAAAACGGTACTGACTGATAATGCCAACTCCAGGTACACTCATAGGCTTTTCTCTAGCCCCCAGCACATGATGCAGGTGAAAAAGAAACCCAGCCAAAAAACTTGCCTCTCTCTCCCCAGCTTTGATGTCTTCCGGCGTCAGCGATTCCATCTTGACGAGTTTCTGGGCAATCTGTTGCTTCAGGATGGCTCCACGGCGGACCTCATTTTCAAAAAACTTGGAACCTGTAGGAGGGAGGGAGGAAGAGGTGTTAACAACGAGGGACACCAAAACACTTGAAATTTAGCCATTGAGGACAACGCCCGAGGGGGAAAAATGACCCGCCCTTCCCTTACCGCTAGACTTCACAACATCGTCTGGACCCAAGCGCTTCATCACAAACGGGAGGAGTAATTAACCTCATGTGACTTTAGGAGTGAATTAAATCGAAACGGCATTGCGATGGATAAGTAGAGGGCAGTTTGGTGTGCGGAGCAGCGAACAAAATGATGAAACCACCTAAACCATGACGATTTTCCGGTAGATGCAGATAGTTAAACAGCACAAAGTAATAACCAGTGACAGCGTGAATAAATTAGCATACTCAAGGCATGATAAGTATGAGTGTAAGACTCAAAACAGTTGTCGGGTTTGGCACTGCCCCCAGAGTTTTTACTTTCGATGGAATGCACCGCCAGCTCCCCTCACTGTTAACTGTGGGTGTCAATTAGAAGTTGGTGTCTATTCTCCGCAGCAAATACCATCCCACGTTCGAAAACCCTCAATCATTTACGGTATGAGCTAACTCATAAAACATGATGACGAACAGCATACCTTACGCTTTGCGCATTTTACGCTTTCCTTATATTCGGCTGACCACGAAATAGATCCTATTGGTTTGCGCGCCAAATCAATCCGATTTTACACGCTAGTGTAGACCGTTTTTATGCACGACATATTATTAATTAAAATTATAAGAGAAAATATTTACAGATGTCGGCGTAAATCCATTCGGGAAAGTTTTCATGGCAAAGGTTGCTTGAGAAGTGCACCACATATACCCCTAGTCCCAGCATTTTGTTCTACGGAAACAGTGGTTATAGGGGTCTGAGGTGGAGAAATAGGATATGCAGTGAAGGAAATTTGTGAAGTAAGTGTAAAGTGAAAAAATGTAGTCGAAGTTGCTTCCCACGGCCGCTAGGAGTAAGTTGTTCCGCATGTAAATTGAAGGTGTGTGCGGCGCTTCGCGCCGCAGACAATACTAATATAACTCCAGAACGCTAAGTTGGACCTTAGGTAAGTTGAAGTAGACGACCTCCTAACCACCGTCTCTATTTTTCAGGAATTTCAGGAAGCTTGTATTTTGATAATTGGGTTTTTCCGCAATAAGTCAAACGATATTACAGGTTAGGAAAATCTACACATATAAATCAGAAATGTGCGAAAATTCCCATTGAGAACTTCTGAAGAGGAATTGGCGAATATACGTTTGTTTTCGATAAATTCTCGTCAGGTCTTTACATTTACATGGAAATTAAGTAAATAATGTCCATGGTAACTGCGGCGCCGCGACGAAGTTCTTTTGGGCGCACAGGACCGGT